ACCACAGTCTTAAAGGGCCAAGATATCTCTTCAGAGATTTTTGTTCAACTGTGAAATTGGAAACATGCTATTTTCCCCCTTTGCAGGAAGCAAGGTCCCAATGCCAGCAGATCAGGAACCGACCTGTATGTAGTGCTTAATGTGGTTCTTAAGATATTGGAGCACCCCAAGAAGGGGGTTCATCAAACGTAAATGCTAGGGGTTCTCCAGCAGGCTTGCTTTCTGGACAGCTGGTGAACTAGGAGTATTATGGGCTCTTTTCTAGCTCCATGTGTGGTGCTGAGGGTTGAGCTCAGTGTCTAGTTATGTTAACCAGCAGTCCAACCACTGAAACACCCCTAAACCTAAGATATAAACATTGCATGGAAAAAAACTCAGAAGCTTAGAAAGAAAATGCACTTTAGAATCAGACAGCATGAATCTAAACAGGAACTTCGGCCCAATAAATCTATAACTAAGAATCCCTTCGAAAGGAACAGAAAGACCCAAACGTTATACCCAGCTGTCAATGTCTGTATTTATGATCTTTAAACACAGATTCAATCAACTGGCTAACAGAGTGATGGCTAAGTAAATTGTGGTACATATAATAAAATGATATGTAGCTGATATTACATTATTTCCAATAAATACTTACCATGAGAGTTACTGAGTACGTTATATAGTTTTTCAAAAGTTAAAAGTGTACATGAACTGCGATGTCCCAGCCTTAACAAGGCTCTCTTTGAGCAGCACTGAGTTACTTGAACTTCCTTCTTGAGATTTCTTACACTTGTAGACATATCCATGTGCTTACAATGGCCACATCATTGAGTAAGATTTGCCTTATATCCAAGCAAACCTTCCTTAAGTGATAAAAGCCTGGAAATAACATTACAAGCAGACCGTTTTGGGAGCCAAGGAGCATGTACACAGCTAACTTGGGACTCGCTGCATAATCCAAAACTGGCCAGTATACACTGGTCGCTTGTGTGTCCATTGGAAAGCACCGAATTTCAGAGACTAGTAACTGCACAGACCAAACCAATATGCAAGTCTCTATTTTTATATGTTCCATACTACTTGTTCTTCTTCGTGTTTTACTACTGAACTGGACTTTCATTTCAACCACTACAAACTCTGGAAGGGGAAATATTTAGAGTGCCGTTTTCTCAACATAAGCAGCTAAGAGCGTCACCCACTGAGGGGAGTGACTTAGGCAGCCATCAATAGAAAGCACAGACCCTATGGTATGCCATCCAAGCTTTACAGGCATTTTGAAGGCCTGCCTCCCTCTCCTGCTTGTCTTCATCTGTTCCAGAACGTTTCTTCCTTTGGGACATGCTGTGTCTTCCATGTAATGGAAGTATATTCCATGTTTGTCCACAGCATGTACACAGCTCATACACATCTTCATGACTTTAGAGAGTCATTGAGTACTAGTGATGGTTTGTATCTCTAAAGTATGTATCGCTCTGTGTGAACCGCACAACACAGCAGAAACATACTCCAATATACAAATGGTCTAGCTGGAAGCCAAGAGTCGAGATTCTTAGTCACGCCACATAGGACAACTCTCCACCCATGGTGTTTAATGTAAACATGAGTGAGAACAATCTCACATAATTAGAGTTAGGATTTATGGTGCATTTACTGAAACCCAAACATTAGAACCAAATTCCCTAAGACACCGTAGTGATAAGGCCATGTATAAGCATGATTTCCCAAATGTCTGTACCATGAGTCAAAGTCTCAGATACGTCACTGTTATTTTATTTTTACAACTCATTAGGTACTGTTTTTATAAAGCTGTTTATTTTAAACCCTCCATTTAGAAATGTCTAGGGGTGCTGGGAGGTGGTTGTCAGACGGTCTCGGAAGCCATTTTCACATCCCCCACAGAACCCAGCGTCAGACGCCCAAGTACAGACAGAAAAGGACAGAGCAGCCGATAGCTGCTGAGTTGTCGGGACAAGTGGGACTCCTGGGCTAAACACGAAGAGAAAGTATGCCTTGAACAGAGAAGTGGGAGATCATAGTGATTTATCTGAATCACCTCCTCCCCATGCAGAAGAAAATAGGGAAAATATTAATCATCTTTAAATCTGAACTGGAGATTCTCTTTAAATTGACAGGGAAAATTAAACACAACGGTGTCTCCGCATGGCAAAGAGACACTGTTTTAGGAGACTGACCATGGAGCTTGGGGTACAGCTCAGAGGTGGGGAGCTGGCCTACCCTGCACGAGGCCTGGAAGGGAAGGAGAGAGGGAGGGAATGAAGAACAGCAGTTCCCCAGGCTTCCTGGCAGTTACCGACAGCCTCGGGAACTTTGCAGATTTACATACTCTCCCAAGCACGCCACTAGACTTAGATGAGGACCACACCGGCCAACCAGAAAAGGAATTGCTACCTGCATTTGGCAGGCAAGGAAACCGGCACACGGAACCGAGCTTCAGCTACCAAGCAGGCTTTGCAGCCAGGAGCCCTCGTATCGACACACTGAACCACCACGCAATGGGTTCTGTAGCTACACAATGCCCAAACCCGGGCAGCCTCAAAGTGTGCAGATTCTGAATGAATTTAAAACAACTGTGAAAACCCAGCCCCGCCACGTTCCAATGGCCCACTTCACACTGAGAGATGCTCCATCAAATGGCTGGCAGAATGCAAAACTGAAGAACGTGAGAAACGCAGGTCCCACAGCCAAAGCCAATCCCTTATGCTCTCTAAATAAAATGCCAGCGTAATGATTTAGAAGGACATCAACGAGGAGAAACCACACCTCTTCTCTCCTGTCCCCAGAACTCCTGGAAACCCTGAATTTATCACTGCTCTCCCATAGTTAACTATGACAGGGCACCCCTGGGCTGTAACTCACGGCACTAACGGCCACCTCCATGCTCCCTGACACACGGCCCATACATCTGCCTTGGCAGGGCCTTAAGTTATCACACTGCTACCAGGAAACGGGATGCAAATCAGATGTCAGCATGCCCTGCTGCTTAAAAACTGAATTAGTTCTCAGACAGGAAGAGAGCAAGAGTCATGAGGGGCATCGACTTTTAGGGCTTCAATGGCACGTTCTCCTCAGGCCAATGCCGGCCTGCTAACTAATCTAAGATGCAAGTGATTTGGCCTTCCATGGCCGACACACACGCCACTCGGACATGTGTACGTTACTAAGGCCATTTCCGGAGTCCGACCCCACAGTCCGTCTACATCAACCATTAGTTCTCACCATTTTCCTCCCCTTTGGGACCACCAGGCCCTTAATGCAGATTTAGAAGAGGTGAAAACATACTTAGAGCAGAAGAGGAACTCCAATCAGATTTCCTGATTATTGCCGAGGCAGATGTTGGAGACATCAGTGTTCTGCATTATCTACCCTCCACACAGTCCACCTTGAGGCAGCATTTGAGTTTTGAGATGACCATTCAGATTAAGAGACTGAGTGGCTATGGTACAGCTCCGTGGTGGAGTGATTCCCAGCATGAGCGAGGCCTCGTGGTAAACCCTTAGCTCCACAAACACACAAAAATGTCTGGAGCCAAGCATGGAGGTACACACATCTACAGCACCAGCCTCTGGAGAAGCTAGGATGATCTCGATGCCAGGATTCAGAATTCAGTACCAGCCTTGAAAACAGAGTGAGTCACAAGCTCTTAAAATAAATAAATACTGCTCAGAAGCAATGTCTCAGACTTTAGAATATAGCATAATGAGGTATTTAGGGGATGGGCTCCAATACCAACTACAAAATTCATTTATGTTTTACGTACACTTTAAAAACACAGCTTGAAGATAAATTCATGCAGTATTTTAAATTATTTTGAGTATGAAATGACATTTCATGATATGGAATTTTCCACTTGGTGACATGCTGGCACACAAAAAGTCTCGTTTGTTTTGGAGACAGGATCTCACTTGGCAGGCCAGGCTGGCCTCAAACTCACTGTATTACAGATATGTGCCACCATGCCTAGCTCTCAAAGTACATTTTTTTTTGGGGGGGGGGATGCTTCTGAATTTCAGACTAGGGTTTTATGGGTGCTAAACCTATGTAAATACCTCAAGGCAGAAGACAGAAAGAAAAAGAATTCTGCCTTTCTGTGATACCCAGAGAGGGTTGCACATAGCATTGTTCTTAGTTTCCCTTGTAAAGGGGAAAATGTCCTGAAAATGAAGGGGAACATGTCCTTGAATCCCTTGCAGCAGGAGTGTACGTCAGTGGCAGTAACCCTGATTTCCAGATGCACTGCATGGCTACAGAAGAAATCGGCGGTATTCTATCAAACTGAAGAGGACTCAAGACAGCTTCTGCAGGCAGTTCAGCCATGGGAAACCCTGTCGCTGTCCGTCATTTCCTCCAGGAAAACCAGCTGGCAGTCTGCACTGGAGCTTCCGGCTGCCAGCAGAACTCTTCCGGTGTTAGCTACTTCATGCCTGGGTCCTTGGCTAACCAGATCCGTCCGGGCAGCCTCCAGGAGTCACGTCCGGAGCTGACCACCAGCCTCTCTTAGAAGCCTCTTGTGCCGACCTGCCCGCCATGCTTTGTGTCATGACATCCATGCCACGGAGACATTGCTGCCCCACACAACAGAGGAGCTCACTCTGTGGGTCTACTCTGCTAGACATGAGACAGCACAGGGAGTCTCGGGTCCCATCTCCCAAGGGCATCTGAGGGAGGGCATGCCTGACCCAAGTCCTGAAGAGCCTGGGAGGGGAGGGAGGCTGCAGAGAAGGCTGTGACCAAGAGGAATGTCGGGGCAAACGGGCTGTGCCAACTCCTGACCTCACTGCCGCTCAGCCTGAGGGGGCAGACCGGTCAGCAGGTGAACAGGCACCCTCTGCACCCGTCTAGACATCTCCATGGAGGACTGGGGTGCCAGCCAACCACAGAGGACTGTCTGCAGCTCCCACTGCCTGGCCACAGTGTGGGGAGGAACAACCACTGGGCATTCCTAGCTGTTCTGCTGCAGAGACTTAAGCAAAATGGAAAGACAAGTGATGGGAAAGAAACTGTTTTCTATAAAGAGGGGAGGGGAGAGGAAGGGGAGGGGAGGGAGGGGAGGGGGAGGGGAGGGGAGAGGAGGATTACTTAGACATCCAGATGAACAAGATATGAACGAATGACATTTCCAAATGGAGAATGGATACTCTGGGTTTGCAAAAATAAATATTTAAAAATTTTAAAAGGATGAAAAGAAAGTCCTTGGGGCGATCATCACATATTCCTTTTAACCATTATTTGTGTGGTGCCTGAGTTTGGCTATAATGATTTTTATTCAATATCTGGCTGGCTGAGTAACTGAGAACCACCACCAGGTATTACTCCACACATCCACAGTGTACCTGCTTGGCACTGTCCAGGACATTAGGGAGAGAAGAATCAGGACCTCTAGTCTCCGGGACTTACAATCTGAAGGAGGAGACAGATAAGAGTGTAGACAATCACAACCTTTCGGCAAGGGCTGAGGAGACCAGAGAGGGCCGTGCGTGAAGTCTGCTCAGAGATTCTGAGGCAGTGTCAAACGTGTTACTTTGCTCAGTGTCTACAAGATGAAGAGGTTAGCCACACTGGGGGAGGACGTTACCAACACAGACTCGGACAGACAGAAGAAATGCAGGTGTGACACTGTTGGAGAAGTCTCGACTGCTGAGGATGGAGAGACCGTCTGGGATTAAGACGATGGAGCAGCACACAGATAAGCCTCTCTAGTAAAGGGTAACTATGATGACACTCAGCTATGAAGGTGACAGCGAGGCCAGCTAGCTACCTTGCGTCTGGGAGAGTGTGTACATGCCAAACTCCCCAACCAGCTCCTCCAGCTCCTCACAGACACTGAGATCTCAAGAACAGAACTGTCCGCCAACGAATAAGCTCTAGCTATCGTGGCTCACCATGAAGGGGAATTGAACATGGATTAGAGGTGAGTGTCATGATGAGCCAGATGGAGGAGACAGGGTTATAACAGGTCAGGAAGCTGGTAAAAACAGACCAGGACCCATGTTCCAAGGTCCCTGAGCCACACAGTAGAAATCATGTCTCATTCCATAGAATAGAATACATGACACTTTCAAGTAGAAAAAAAAAATTAGTGTATCTTAGTTTCAATTTCCATACCCACAAAGCTGGAAGGAACAGACTACCAAAACTTCAGTTTGCACATGAACACATCTGTTCTATCCCCTCACCCACATGCCGCTACTTGTCTCCAATTTATTCTTCAACGTTCTGTGCCATACAGTTTTGTTCGCCTTCCTTCAGTCAGTATTGCTGCTGTAAGTTTAGATGTTAGAGGCCCCAGACACCTCTGTGTAAGAGGCTTGATGCTCAGCGGCTGTGGAGCCTTTAGCAGGCAGAGCTTTGTGCCAGGTGCCTCCATCATGACACACGCTCAAAGATCCTGGGGTCTCCTTCCTTCCTTTGCTTCCTCAAGGGAGCGGAAAGTGGGCAAATGACCCCACCCCATCTCAGGCTCTTCACAGACGCCATCGCCAATCCCATCAGAGGACTGAAGCAATGGGGCCACCTGTACTGGACTGGAACCTCCGAACTTTTCTCTTTACCATTAATCGTGTCCTGTATTCCATCACCACATTCCGAAGCTGACTAACGTAATCAAAGACAAATGAAAACGTATTTTCTAATGCCTAGAAAACAAAATGCACATCAATTCAGGAAACCCTTTAGGATTTGGTGGGTGCATGCAAAACACCTAAGTCAGCTTGAACTTGCTGATTTTCCTGAAGTTTCTCTCCAGCGCTCTACTCATTACTGTGACAGTGGCTTACACTCTAAATGTCATCTGACGTGTGATGGTTTTCACAGTATTACAATCACTTGAAAAGAACAGAAGCGTGAGTTGAAAATGAAATAGCAGAGATTCTACACACACCAGAAGATTCTCGGGCTTGATATCTCTGTGTACAATGCTGAGGCCATGCAGGTATCTGAGGGCGTTGGCGAGGTTGTACACCATGGCACTCCCATCTCTCTCCGTGTACTTGGTTGAAGAAGTAATTGCATCAAAGAGATCTCCACCCTGTAGGATAGAAAAAGAGATGTACGGGGATGTCAACAGCTCAGTCCTGTGAGGTAAGAACGATGCCACATCAGCTTAGAGCAGATGAAGGAAGGGCCACACACCACACCGATGTGTACCAACAACGAAAGTGAAGAGGGCGTAGGATGCTTTCCTGACTAGTTGCAAGCCAATTTGAGATCGGACGCCAGCGAAACCCGCCCTCCCTCTTACTTTGACCAGCTCCATCACCAGGAAGAGCTCCGTCGCCGTCTCCATCTCCTCGACCAGCATGATGATGTTGGGGTGCTTCACTCGGCGCAGTATTGACACTTCATTCTCGATCAGATGTTCCTGTCAAATAAAGGGTGGAGACAGACATCAGAAACCACAGAACCTCAGGCTCTGCCCCCACAGCCTGGAGGAGAATAACAGATCACAGTCTTCATTTCTAATGCCAAGGGTGACATGTCTCTTGGCACAGGACAACCACACCTGCTTACTTAGTTCCCCCAGGGATAGGACAGGCCACTATTGGCTATCTCTTTGCCAAGACCCTAAAGAAACTGCCTTCTGAGCATGTCCAGGAGGCTCAGTGTCATACCGTACTGACGTGTATGACTCCACTCTAAGCAATGACACTAAAGACAGTATCCACACAGCACTGGCTCTTCTCTGAGTAAGACGAGAATCACTTTTTAACTTCAGTACTCCATGCAAAAATAACGGCTAGGCCTATATGAAAGTTTGGCACACAAGCTCTAAGGTTAAAGTGTTTTACTGTTGCCAATATAAATTTTAATTTTATGCTAAAATTCATGAAAAATAAGCTTTCTTATTTCTTCTTCTGTGGGTGGGTATGAAGTCATTCACCAGATGGGTGTTCCTTCCACTTCGTATTTCAGAAATCTAGAAGGTGCCATCGTACCACACAGCTCACTTTAACTGTGCTCAGCTCTGCCCTGAAAACACTACCTCAGTGTTGCTCATGCTCAATGATGTGGACGAGGGCTGCTCTGGAGTAAAATGTTCACTTACAGAATTAAGACATTACCCACAGGTCGTACACAGTGGCCCTTCTGTTCTAAGTGGGGCTCACGTGGATCCTTACTGACTTCAATGACAGATCCATTTAGAAAACGATCTATAAAATCTGCAAGCTTCTCTCTTCAAGATTCTAAATGCTGAAATAAGATGATTTTATACAGAAGAGGTATAATTTATCCTCTAAAGATGTGTGCATGTAGGTGTAGGGGTGTGTGTGTATGTGTGCTGCTGAGGTGGCCTTTGACCCTTACTACCACGACTCAGAGCTAAGTCCGGTGTTCTGACATGGCAGCTTACACCTAGTTTCAGACACCATTTCTAGTTTTCCTGTATCTTCCGGTGCAAACATGATTTATGTTTTTAGTCTAATTCAAATTGACAATAGCTGAAGGAATAAATCACAAGAAATGAACAAATTTGGTAATGCGGGGAATACAATCTACTGCAAGTTCCTGCACATGCTGGGTTGAGAGTCTTGAGCACTGGATGTACTATCCAAGAAGTCACGGGAGACGCATCAGCAAAGGACAGCAAATGCCCACTAGGAAAATCTGCAGGAAAATGACTCCCTAATTGTCAGGCACAGAGCAAGGCTCTCGTGTAACGTTCTGACATTTTATCTTTTACTTCAGCCCTTGGAGATGGGGATGTAAGCCTAGCATTCATGCCTCTAAGCCCACATCTATTGTACTGGGCATCACTGCTTTGAAAAGGGAATACCTGAGTGAAATTGAAGTTGGAATTTTTCAAAATGAAAATGACATTGGTGAAGATGCAGATATTATTTTGTTGAAAAGACAGGAGTGAACAGCAGCATCACACCCTCACTGGAGGTGACGAGCCACACCAAGGCTCCTTTGTATAAGGAGGGGAAAAAACTGTACTTCTTTCAAGAAAGAGGACTGAAAAGGCTTTTGGAGTGGTGTAGGAATCAATACTTCCAAATCCCCTTGGAAGGTAGGAAGTCTCAAACCCTAATGTGCATGGCCGGGCAGTCGGGGAAGAGCCTCCTCCTGAGCATTAACACAGGGCACAGCCAGCACCCAGGATGGCATCCAGGGAGGCGGCTGTGCGGGCAGCCAAAGAGGCCACACAAGAAGACACAGCGGCCGCTCCACACTTACTCTACACCCTCATGCGAAGCTTTCGGGTGTAAAAGCAATGATGTGAATTTGTCTCACTCTGCACTAAGCAAAGACAAGAGCAGTTACCACCACTACAGTAAAAAGGGCTTCTTTTAAAACTAAGTCAGAGCTTCCACCCCTAACCCTGCCATCCCCTCCTGCCCATTTTCCCCGATGTTAGGAGGGTCTGTAAACACATTGAGGGGTGGTTTGGGATGCCCATTTGTAAACGTAAAGCACTCCATGTCAGCAGTGTCAGGAAGCTGTCTGCATAGTCAAAATACCCTGTCTACCGAGGATTGAGTCCCCTTCCCCAAGTTACCGTTATTCTCAACAGAAGGCACTCGGACAGTCTCGGGGGCCATGTGGAACCTCTCTTGGCAGTGTGAGAAGGCTGCCCAGCAGTGTCAAGTCCCAACACTGAGCAGGCACTGGGACATCCTCCACAGGAGCCATGACAACCTAGTGCCCTGTTCTGACAACAGTCCATCTAAGCAGAGTCAATGTTTCTGTTGGGACGTAGAAGCTGCCTCTCTGTTTCTCCGTCTCTTTCTATCCCTGTCTAATAAAGCAACGGTCCTTCCGACACTAATTATCATGAAATGTTAGCAGAGCACCAATAGAAAGTGGTGCAATGCTTCTCCCCAGGTACAATCCTGTGCAGTCCATAGGAGATTTTACTCTCTGTCCTCCAGAATCTACTTTTCAAACTCTCTCCGTACAGAATACGAGTACCATTTGAACCAGGCTGAGGTTACCCATCATCCTGTGAGGGGTGTCCCCTGCCCCATCAAGGCTGAGCTAGGTGACTCCCTCCTGGGCAGCCGCCACCCCTCCCCCACACTTACACCACTCATAGCTCTCCTCCTCCTGTCTCCTGTTTGTGGGCTGGTCTGGGGGACCTAAACTTAAACATTCTAGAGGTGTCTGCCTCACTTTCCAGCCGACAGCATAGTTAGAAATGCACAGTGTGGAGGAACTGCGCGCGCGTGCGCGCGCGCGCGCACACACACACACACACACACACACACACACACACACACACACACACCACCCATCATCAGCGGCTTCACAGCTGGCAATTAAGACTGCTGAGGATAATATACCAAGAAGGAAAGCGTGTTCGAATCGCTGCATGTGGTCTCCGGCATAAGCGTTATGTAACAGAATGAAACAGGTAGTCACTCAAAAGCATCAAGTCCTGATCTCCGGACTTTGTAAATATTATCTTATTTGGGAAAAGGGATTCGGAAATGCAAAGACAGCCCTGAATTAGCCAGGCTAACCAAAATGAGTCACAACAGGCTTCTAAGAAAGAGGAAGGAGAATCCACACAAATGTAAGAGCAGCAACAAAAGCCCAGAAGAGAACAGGTGAGGATGGAGAGAGAATAAAGAAACGTGGAGAGTAAATAAACCCAAGACTGTCAGTCACCTGGAAGCGCTCAGCGGCCAGAAGCACATTCTCCCCAGGAGCCCCAGGAAAGTGTAGATTTCTGACTTCTGGCCACCAGAACTGTGAGAGGGTAATTTCTGTTGATTTAAACTGTGTGGCCATTTACTCTGACAGCTCAAAACTAGCATAATATGCTTTTGGATTTATGTCCTGTCTGGGTCTTTAATATGCAGATAATGAACGCAAAGATAAGGAGAGGACAATTCAGGGTTTCCTTACTGTGGCGATTCCGTCAACAGTCACTTAGAATGAGGGGATCTCAGGACCGAACAGAAGGAACCCTCACAGGCAGGATTCCACAGCCTTCTGTACAACCTCTGCAGTCAGGTCCCAGGCAGGTTCAAGCGACGTGCTCACAGGAACCCGCTGCGCTCTGCGCCTCTGGGCCTTCGCTCTGTCTGCTCTGGCCACCTGGCGGGTTTTCCTTTCATCACCGCGTGCTGAACGCATGCTGCAGTTCCAGGACCAGCTCAAATGTTTCTTCTGTCTATCGATATGATAGGCATGTGTGTGTGAATCCAGCAGATGTGTGCGGATCCAGCATGTGTGTGCATGCCAGGGCACTCATGAAGGGCTCAGAGAACAACATCAGGTATCATCACCTTCACCTTCTTTGAGAGAAGGTCTCTAGCTGTTTTTCTGCTCTGTGTGCTAGGCTAGCTGGCCCAGGAACGTCAGGAGATTCTCTGCTCTCTGCTCCCCTCTCCCTTTAAGAACACGGGGATTACAGACGCATGAGCTCAGGGCCTGCCTTTCCACGGGTGCTGGGCATTAAACTTGGGGCCTCGGGCTGGACGGGAAGCACTTTTACCCACTAGCCCATCTCCCCATTCTCAAATGCTTTTCACTCCATGGCATCCTCACTGGCTATCAGTTCCTCTTCCATAAGCTTTCCCTGAGCCCATATCATACTCAGAAAATTGGTATTAATTCTGTGGTGAGTCACCCACTCCCGCCACTGTGTCTTACCCAAAGACCACACACCAAAGTTCAGGTGAGTGAATAATGTACTCTAATGATGTTCATGTGTAGCAGGAATTTTAGAAGGTCTTATTAATAAAATCAAACCTGAGGCCAGTTATTGGGGTGAATGCTGGCAGATCGGAGAAGCAGAACAAGCCACAGCTACCTCATCTGGCCAATTCCTCAGCTGATCCTGTTTCCTCAGACTGGAGGCCTCTGAGTCCTCATCCAGAATGAGTTTCAGCTGAGCTGCTGCTCGAACGCCTGAAAGCTTAACCAGCCAAATGCTTAACCAGCCAAATGCTTCTAGTTTCTGGTCTTCATGCCTTGTGTGTCTTTCCGTTTTTCACCATCACTCCCTGGGATTAAAGGCTCACTTCTTGGGATTAAAGGCGTGAGTCACCACGCCTGGCTGTTTCCAACGTGGCCTTGAACTCACAGAGATCCAGAGGGATTTCTACCTCTGGAATGCTAGGATTAAAGGCGTGAGTGCCATTTTCTAGCCTTTGTATCTAGTGGCTGTTCTGTCTCTGACCCCATATAAGTTTACTAGGGTGCACAGTATTTTCGGAAACACAATACCACCACATTCATGTGTATTAGAAGAAGAAACAGAAGACAAGAATGAATATTCCCCTAGGTTCCTATCATATGAAGAAGGAACAAATCGAAACGCAGAGGATCATGGCTGCACCCAAACTCAAGTCAGGACTTGGCCTCTGCGGATCTGCGGAAAGCTGGTTAACCCAAATCTCTGCTTCCTCAGCGGCACAGCTGGTGCAAGCGTTCTGAGTCCGACTGGGCCAAGTCCCTGCATTCCCAGCTGGTGGCCGTTGTCAACGCACTGACTTTCCATGGAAGACCACACAGCAGAGGTGAGCAACGCTCCCCATACTAGTGGCCGCACCATCCCCTAAGATTTTGTAAACAAATTATGTTATTTTTATCTGAACATATAATTTCACCGTGGGGGTAAAAATATCCACTTATTTGCAACATCAAGTTTTTAAATTATAATTTTATACAGTATTGATATGGAATTTGTTGGTCAAATATGCAAAATGTAAAAATGCAGAGAAGCATTAAAATTGTGAACTGTGCAAACAGAACCACATCCGGTAGCAGGGAGACACAAATCCAAACGTTGGGAGGCCTATCCCCATGTGACCAGGCACCCAGTGTATCAGGTGAAATTCCTGCATGTGGTCCTAAGAACACAGCCGTTTACGTCTTAACTGTTATCCTTAATATTCTGGGAGGAAACGTCACAGTCACATAGAACGTGGCCAATATCATGACACGACATGCTTACACCACCTCACAGGCGGAAAGACTAACAGTTACATGTAGAGAGAAGGTCGTTACATTGGAAAGTTAGTAATATTATTAGAAGCGTGAGCAAAGGGGGCCAGCAAGAGACAACGCGGTGGGTAAGATGCCTGCTGCCCGACCCAAGACTGAGTTTGATCCCTGGGACGCGAATGACGGAAGAAGATTGACTTAGGCAAGTTTTCCTTGGCATGTGTACACACACACACACACACACACATAACACATACACACAACACACACACACATAATGTACACATACACATCTCACAACACACACACACACACACACATCATAACATCTAAACATTCACACACAGATACAGAAGATGAACACTTACAGTGGTTACAGAAAATGCCAAAGCATGAAAGATCGGACGAAAGCCACCATGCAGAAAAGGGCTGGCTGTCTTGCCACCTTGGCTTTGCTGACAGTTACGTGAGAAAACAATAAATGACAAATTCGCCTCATAGGCAGAAGATTTTCCTAAAACTTCCTTAACACTATTTTAAATGTTCTGTTAAAACCACATGGTTTCATAAATATCCACTGAAAACTGGTTTTGTTTGCTTGTTTTCTTAGCAATTCCACAGTGTAAAGCCAATCCTACCACATCACCCACAATGATAAACTCCCAAGTCCTCTGGCATGCCAACAATGTCGACAGTAATGCACGTCGGTTCTTTCTGCACACACTGGGGCTTTGTACATATTTCCACTCCCTCATCCCACCAGCCACTGCAGCAGCCTTGTGGCGTACACACTGTCAGTCAGCACCTTCAGGGGAAGAAGAAACGGAGACACCGACGACTCAAGCGTCCCACCGCAGCAGGTTAAGGCAGGAGTGACTCTGTACACTCTGGCCCTAGAGTAAACCTTCCAACAGGATTACAATGAAGTTCAAATATGCAATTCTAAAGCTTCTTTCTAATAGTCACACTGAAAAATATGACCAACAGAAACATTAACTGGAAAATGTAACTTAATCCATTCTATCTAAACTACTGCACCGTGTGGTGACATAGGAAACCATCACTGATGTGCTCGGTGTGTGCTTGAGCCCACGGCTTATTTCAGACTTGTATCACCCAAGCGCTTGGGCCATGTGCGGTCAGCAGCTCCACCTGGTGTTGGACTGCTGCTCCACAGCCTTTTCTGGGTAACAGACCTGCCACCACAGAGGAATCAGCACAGGCCTGTGGTCTCTGTGTCTGTCCAGTTACTGTCCTCTAGCAGCCCGTCATCAGCGGATCCTTTCCACTCTGGTTTGAGAGCAGGACAGACAGAAACCGGTCATTGTGCTGACGGATTCACTTCATGGTGTCTCTGCACCATCCACTGCTCCAAACATCCTGCCCCAGAATATCTACGCAGCAAACACCCTCAGAACACAGAGGGACAAGGCCAGATCATTTCCTGGCCCCGACAAGGAAACTAATGTTTTCCTCGGCAAATATCTTGGGTGGATTTTCCAGCGGCTGCCTCCTAAGACTCGAGGTGTTCAAGCTTGGGGCTCCTCAGGTCTGATACAAGCCCACGAATATAGAGCATCTGACTGGACCCCTGGGTGTCACCTGGGAGCCAGAGGAAGCAGGCTGCCTGTCATTCATGAAGTCTTACTTTCTGCCAACTTCCTGAAGCTAGAAGGTCAACCCTTAAAACGGAGGTAGGGAACTACCATCTAATGGTCCTCAGTCCTAGCCTTTTAAATGTTGCTGGATTTGAGACTAGGAATCTCCCAGGAAAGAGAGTTTCACGTTTTTTATCATTAGAACCAAAATCATATAAATTTACAGTCTTAGAGGTAAAAGTCACTAGAAAACAGCGCGGTGAAAATTTTTACTTTCGTTTCTGTTACTGGGAGTCGATCTCCTGCAACAAAGGTCTCAAGTCCCCGCCTGAATACCTCCCGCTCCAAGAACCCACGTAGCAGTTGTACATACTGACCTTTCCACAGCATTTGGCTTTGTCTATAATCTTTAATGCAAACTCCTTTCCAGTAGACCTAGGAATAACCACAGGAAGGCGTTAGCTCTATAAATCAGAATAAACCTTCCTTCCCAGCTCCCTCTACAGCACCCCCGCTTCTGTCCCTTAGACACAGTGTGGAGAGGGGTCATAGGAGGAAGGAACCCCCAAGAAAAGAAAAAAACAAACCCAGGCTAACTAAACCTTCTTTTGCGTTAGCAACTCAAATTGAAGTATTCAAATTCTGTTGCAGCAACACAAGAAAAGCAGTACTTTCTTTACTTAGATCTCAAGACAGGTCTCTAAGAAGAATCAATATAGAAAAGTAGATCAGATTAAAGGAGAAAGTAAACCACCACCTGATTCTACAGTTGAAAACTGCCGAGTCCTGGCACTTTTAGTACCTATTTTTCCTCCATACCTTCCACAAGCTCTGGTGCTACATCATGTCCACCCTGTAGACCCTGCCTGGTACTAAAGGAATCACTTATTGGATGTGAAGGTCTTAATTCAATGCTATTTAATTTTTACTCAATATTAGCATAGTTGAATTTAAATAGGAAAAAAAAAACCCAACTCAAATGAGAACAGTTCTACAGAGACCATCACAGTATTCTTACAAAGTATTCAGAATACACGTGTTCTCTCATCTGCAGGTCTTCCTGCCAAAGCGCACTGGTGCACAGGGATGAGGGATGAGGGACAGCTTGGAAAGGTAATATATGAATTTCTCCCCTCATGTTATAAACCACATTTCTCACATGTCCTTAGAAGTTACATTTTAGATGCCTCATTGTTTTCTCGGGGAGCAATCTGTATGCCAGGGCTCTGTAAAGGCTTCAAGAACAGCTTACACAGCAATATATAATAAAGGGCAGTGAACCCTCACTGGAGATGCCACAGAATGGACAAACTGTAATTATCAGAACATTCTAGAAAATCAGCCGTTCAGAGCAGGTAGGACAGTGTTCTGTGAACACACAGACTTTCAAGTGCATCCGCCAGGACTTTCATATTGCTTTAAAAGGTGGAGAACAAGCAGTGGTTGGTTCCTTCTGATCTCACAGTTGTGGCTCGTTTATCCAGAGCTCTGGGTCTAGCTCAGCATTGCTGCGAAGGTCCAAGGAAGTAACTCCATGTGCACTGAGCAGAGCCTGATGGGCTGTTACAGGTTTTCTTGTTCCTTCCTTTTCTCCAGGCTGGTGGATGAGTTCTGATATGTCCTTTAAACCACATGCACACAAAACAATTGTATGTATGTAACTGAAGATCAACTGCTTGTGGCCACGCCAAAGGGCTAATCCCAAGGACAGATTCTTTTAGGAGAGGGAAAAGAGACTCTTTCTAGAAAGGCCTTTCCTTCATGTGGTAGTTTGAATGTATTCGGTCCCCACAGTCTCACAGGGAGTGGCACTAGGAGGAGGCGTGGCCTTGTTGGAGGAAGTGTGTCACTGTGGAGGCGGGCTCTGAGGTCTCCTATGCTCAGGACACTGCCCAGTGCGTCAGCTGTCTTCCTGTTGGCTCTGAATTAAGATGCAGCACTCTCAGCTCCAGCACCACGTCTGCCTGCATGCTGCCATGTTCTGTGTCACGATGATAAAGGACTGAACCTCTGGAACTGTAACCGAGCCCCTCAAGTCAATGTTTGCTTTATTTATAAGAGTTGCCTTGGTTATAGTGTCTCTTCACAGCAACCAAAACCCTGACGGGACCGTTCGGCAGTGGGAGAACTGTGTGTATGTGTGGCGGAGGGGGGGGGGGGGGAAAAAACCATCCGCCACTCACCTGTCCACACACTCTTTAACTACCGCAAAGTTGCCATCTCCGATGACCTTCCCGATTCTGTATTTCTCCAGGAGGGTGAATGACTCAGAGCACCTGTTCCCATTTACACCTGCAACCAAGGATAAATGCAAAGTCTGAAGGAAATGTCAGCATTCCGTACTGACTCCGACTTAGTGGGAAAACAATGAAATGCAATGCAATTATTTATAGGTCCATAGCAAAACCAAAGAGAACCCCTCAGCATATTTCCTAAATAGAATGCCTGAATCACCAGTTTCCTTTTGACCTTGTTGGTTGGAATCAGGAACCCACAAAAATCAATAGGCCTAACAAATCCTGAAATGTCAGTTAGGGAGTCTAACCAGACCTCTTCAAAATTCCTGTCTTGGGCAAGAGGAGGATGGGTTCCATCTGAGGAGTACTCTGGAGAGTTCTCCTTGGTTCTAGTAAAGAAAGTCCTATCAAAGTAAGACACTATGTTGAGGCTAACCCCTGGCTCAAAGCCTTCTCAGAGAAAGTGTGTGCTGGGCTGTGAGTTAAGACCAGACCTCTGATCACAATGTGTCCTGTTGTCTGTGTTCATCTAACTGAGAGAATGGGAAAAGATCTAGGAATTGTGAGCACAGACAAGACAGGAAGCCCAGGTCACGGATTTGAAACAGGAATAACGTGGTGTATGACAGAGAGACTACACACCCTCAAGTGACCCCACTCTCAACACCTCACTAAAGCTACCCGGGCTATCAGGGGAATGTGGTACAGGAGGGATCCCGACGGCCACCAAGTTCAGATGGATGATTTCCTTTATAAAAGCAATGATCAGGCTGAGAAGCACCTTCAGGACTCAGGCAACGGTCAAGTTCAGGTCCACCGTTCACATTGGAAGAAGATCTGCCTGGAGCAGAAACCTGCTAAAAGAAGAAAATAACCATAGCGTATTGGGATACATTTACAAATCATTAGCTTCCTAGTCCTTATGTGATAGACAACAGTTATATAATGTCAAATGACTGATACAGGAAATGATACAGAATTTTCTTGTCCTTTTCCCCTTTATATGACATAACACATTAATAAATTTATTTCACAGATACAGTCTCAATTCAGATTTAACATCACAAAAATTCACAGTGTACTACTTTTTAAAACACATTGTGCTACTTTTGACTTCAATAAAAAATAAAGCATGCATTATGACATCATAGCTAGACAAGTACCAAAATTAGTGCAAATAAATGTCTCAGCACCACAGAGAATTCTAAGAGTTCTAGACTAAATGTCCAGCCAACTGTTAGTCCAATCATTTTACCTCCAAATAACAGAACATAATTCTGAACAATCCGATTCTCAGTGTTTCATCTTTTTATTTGCCTTGTCCTATTTTATTTATATTCTGGCACTGAAATTGAAAGTCATCACTCCAAAACTGGTAGCACCGTACAAGAATACATCTAAAAGCTAGGATGTTTGAGAGCAAATTCTTAGGAGACTAAAAGGAGGCTTACAAAAACAAACAAGCAAACAAACAGATTTTATTCCCTACAACTACCCTCCAGGTCAGATCACCCTCCAGGTTCACCTGACTTCTAACACTTTCTATGTCTCCCACTCCACAAGATACCGCCAGAGAAATCTGAGGGATCTGAGAACCCCAGTGGGTTTTTGTTCCCAACAAAATAAGCCCAGGTCTTCAGCCTGGCATCCAGGCCGCGGGCTGTCTCCTCCTCCTAGCCAGGGTATTTCCCACCACTTTCCAAACTCACTTCTTCATGAGTTTCATACTCACATTAGCTCAAACAATTCCCTTTATTTCTTAGTTACTGAAACTCCCCACGCCTACATCTCGGCTCTCAGAAGTCAAAGCAGCAGCACCCAGCTTGAACCTAGAGACCTGACATTAGCTCACGCCTGGAAAACAGCTGAGCAAAGTCATCGACTCCGAACATGAATTCAAGCTCAGTCAGTGCCTTCCCCCAAATGCCTAACACAGAGCTGAAACAACTGTCCAGTACACAAGTTTTTGATTTGTTAAATCATTTACTCCAAGCTGATTCCTCCTCCAATACAATTCTTCCTAGATTGAAAATTGCCAAAGAAATAAAAGATCCAACTTGAACTAGTGTCTGCCTGGTACTGTTTGTGGCAAGGCTCTTGCTGTGTAGCCCATGCTCATCTTGAACTCATGAGCCCCTGTGTAAGCCTCCTAAGCGCTGGGATTACAAACATGCCCTGCCAGTTACAACCCCCTGACCCTCAGGGGAATAAACAATGAAAAGAATGAAATTCTTCTGTAAAGTGAAATCTCAAAGATAAATAACAAGAGCCCTGCTGATGACTCCCAGGACTCTGAACGAACAGACTGGGGGCTGGGTCATCAAATGCTAACGAATAACAGGGACAGGGACCTGTGCGCCCCACATCTAAACCCCATTGCCCAGAGTGAGGCGGTCTACACCTGGCTGGGTCAGGCATGGACACCCTCATCTGTCTCCAGTGCTCAGAACACAAGTCCCCACACTGCTCCTGGGATGTTAGGACTAGCCTTGGTCCTCTGGGTCTACTCCCTTCTCAGCTTCCCTTCAAGCAGGTAACACTCTCCTATGCCCCTTTCTTGTCTGAATGTCCTGACTGACTCCAGGACTCCTCCCTAAGCGGCTCACTTGCGAGCACTGCAGTGTTTACCCGCTGCGTTCCTGTGGACCTCTGTAACTTCCCCACTGTGGATTTTGAGTCAGGCCCCTCTTCTCCTTTCCTATCCCAGTTCCTGGTGCAGCCGGATAATTATAAACCTGCTTTGTGCTGTGATTCCAAGGTGACGAGAAGCATGGGAAGAACACAGGAAATAGAACAGGTGGTGGGAGCCCGCTCCCTGGCAGACACAGGAAAGCCTGAGTGTGAAGGCCGAGGCACCCTGTGGAGGGAGAGGGCATGGGGCCAGGGGCCAGCGAGGTTCATGTGCAGAAACCTCAGTGGATCACTCCAAGTTGTAGCTTTTTTTAAAATCAAATGACAGCAACTATTTTCAACTCTCAATTTGACATTTTTTTTAAGTGCTAAAGCTTTCCAAAAATCTCTGTATTGAGTTAATAGGAGTGACTTATCCAATATATTCCTCTACTTGAAAATAAGGCTTTCATTAAAAAAAAAGCCATGAAAAAAAATAATACTAAAGGGGATAATTTTACTGTAACACTGATGAACAGGGTCCAAGACATCATGAGAAATAAAATATTATTGAAACTTTTTTCTTTCCTCGCGGTTTGATCGGATCTTCAGCAACTGCCTGTGCTGTTTAAAAGGATGCAAGGTGAAGAGACATGAGCAAGCGTTGCTAATTCTTTGAGGAGACACGGGACAACAGTTGGAACACTCCTTGAAGCCTGTCCATGCCAGGTCAGGGGCTCCTGGCCTGAAGTAAACGTTGAATGGCTAGGAGAGGGAGTCACACTTTGCTCAGGATCTCCCTAAGCGACACCTTCCAATCACTCAGCTTATGATCAAATTCACTAGACTTCCCCACCACGCAGCCTGGCCCTCCGGGGCCATAAAGGTTGACTATTCGTTATGCTCTCCAGAAAGGCGGCTGCTGAATAGCAAACACTATGGTTAAACAGAAGGTCTACTAGTCACTGGGGCCCAGAGACACTCAGACACAGAGTGGTGAAAACACAGGAAGCCACAATGACGATAAAAATTCTATTTCTTTGGCAAATATTTTTTGCATTTCCCTGTCCCTACTAAGAAAATACCCACTTACTCATGGCATCTGAGATATGTAGCTAGTTAATGGTGATAAACAGAACCCACTGGGTACGTAAATAAGACACAAGACAGGGGCTAGCTTGATAACTATGTGCAATCTGCTCACCTGAACCCTTCCATTCCTTAACACCCCCCGCCACACACACACAATAGACTAAGTCGTCAGCCCAAATCAGCTAGAACTCCATCACATCTGTGAGTGAGCCCTTCAAGTAAGATTCAAGCTTATTGCTTTTGAGCAAGAGACTGGAGGAATCATAAGGCCTCTTGTTAAAAATGTCTCCGTGCTTTTACTGCGAACCTCATAATCTCTAGGATCCAGGGTGTCATGGTTGGTCACTGCAGCAACCTCTAAGTCTCATTCCACCCAGTCACCTCCAATGTTCTAACAGGAAGGCCTTCCAGTGTCCTGCGTTCATGAGTAAGGGGCCATTGAACAGGAACACATTCAAATAAAGTTCCACAGTTGCTCTAACTTGTACACACTGGTTTACACGGTGACCCTCTCATCGACCCTAATGGGTTGCGGCCCAGAAGGCTGAACTATCCCCAAACTCACCCAACTAACTGAGTAACCGCCATGTACAAACAGCATCTGGTATTCAACGCCATGATTTATTTTGCTAGGGCACCAAAGTCTTCAAAACTACTTAATCCGCCTCTTTGTTTCTGTTTCTGTCTAACAAAATCAATTATGTTCAAAGATGAAGTCACCACACAGTGCTTTCTGGGGAAATAAAAAGAGTCTCAGAGTGGCCCGTTCCCGAGTTCTGAAAATTATTAACTTCGTTTTAAACACAGCAGAAAAGCAAAAGCTCCGGGGACAAGAGGAGATGGCTAAGGTCAGCGGCTACTGTGGGTTTACATTTCACAGCTTGGAAAAGAAGGCTCCGAGTTCAGGAGGTCAGAGAGTTACATTTTAGCTCTGCCAATCAGGTTAGATGCAGCCGCACTTTCATCACACCTCACAAATCTGGGGACCTTTCAGCACCAGCAGACCCGAGAGACATCGTCAGATAAAACCTCAGCACATCCGACAGTTTATAATCTCAAGATGTCGGGAATGTTCCACATGCACTTTGTTCCTCCTCCTTTCCACCAACGAGAACGCTCACAGCGGAGAGCTCCCAGGCATACACCTCTGCAACAAAAACTCAGGCGTTTCCAAACTGTGTGCCTGACTCTGAAGCCCTACGTTGCCTTAAAAGTCCTCCGTTTGGACAGATGATGAACTAAAGTTCAGGGAAATGTTTTCTTCATCTATCCGGCAGTCGACATATTTAGTACTCTTTACTGCCTATCTGCACCCCTGCCCCAAATGCCGTGATTTAAGGACAGTATGGAATCCTGCAGAAGCTGCCAGCCATATCCAAGGGACTCTGAGGTTCCCTGCCAAAGAAAAGAGATCACAGACTGAGGTTAAGGACAAAGCTAGGAAGATGGGAGTTAAGAGAAAAAAAACCAATGTCAGCAGTAGAGTCCAAGACTTGAAGAGAAAAGACTGGCAGGGAACAGAATGGTTCAGACTGTGGATGAAAAGGTTGGGAAAGAGAACCGAGCCGTACAACTGATGAGGAGAAAGACTATGGTGACCTTCAAGCAGGAAGACGGACAGGAAGTTCAGGGAGATCAGAGTGGAAAACAAAAGTTCTGGGTGCCTGGGAGATGAAAATGGGATTGTTGCTAGGGCAGCCAGACCCAAAGAGGACCAAGGAGCCTCCCCCCAGGCTGAACTGGCTGGCCTGTGTCCCTCCTAAGACATTGTGGGAATAGAAGGTCTGGCTCCCAAAGCTGGGTCACAGAGACAAGAGCCGTATGGCATCCTTCTTTTGTCACTTGGTTCCAGGAAAAGCCAGCAGCCACCTTTTGAGGACATAAAGCCAGTCCACAGGAAAATCCCAGTAGGGAGGAACCAGGGCCTTCTGGACCTCCAACAGGTATGGATCTGAGTCCAGAGGTCAGTTCCTCTTGTCTCTACACAATGAATTATACAGAGACGTATAGTCAGTTATAAGAGAGGAGACAGATTATTAAGGGGGAGACACAAGAGCCTAGAGGTGTGCCATATCTTTTCTGTGGCCTGGCACTCAGAGGGCAAGAGAGAAAAGGGGCTGAGAGAGGTCTGCGGTGACCTTTTGTGGGGCCTTAG